AGTGAAAAATGTTGATAATTCCCAGCAGCCTGGTCTTTTGTTGGGAGGATGGTCCTTTGTTACAGGGCACTGTTTCCTTTGTCCGAGTTCGGAGACCCGGCCTCCCATATAAACCATACGTCTCCGATCCCGGAGTCCGCGGCAGGAAGTGGTTGAAACACAGGGCTTCATGTCACCCGAAGCACCGGGCTTCATGTCACCTGAAAGTGAAAAGTACACATTAGAGTTCATTTGCATTTCTGCACCTGATTGAACGTTTGAGAATCAAAGGTTGCAGGAAACATTATCTGTATTGTGAATAAGGGAAGACTGCAAACTTAAACAAGAGGTATCAAAGGGAAGAACATGAACTTAAACAAGAAGTATCTCAAGGCTTTACCCTGTAAAGGTTCTACACCAAACCCTTTGAAACCTCATTAAACATTGATGTCATCCTCAAGTTACCTCCTGTCTAAATTTACACTCTTCCTGGAAGTTGATTATTTTGTGCAGTCATTAATATATGTACGTTCAGGGTGTGCATCTAGTGATCGCAGGTGAGACTCCTGTGCATAAAACTTCGGAAAGAAAATGACGCAGCTGCGCCTCGGACAGACTTTTTTTTTCAACATACATACCAGAAGGAAACTAGACCTTATTCCTGAGAAAGTCATTTTTGATCTTGTTCACCAAACCTTTTTGACAAATTCACTTTTGAACGGGATGGTGTCAAACAATTTTAGAATTTGTGCGGGTGCCAAGCCTCCATTTCAAGTTTTGCCCCCAAAATGGCACAAAAAAGTTTAGTATATTTTATCACACATATGAAATTGTTCATCAGACTAGACAGGTACAAATTTGACTGGAAAATGTCATGTTATTCTTTCAAGTTCCAAAACTGAAGAGTTAGCCTCACTTTCAATTTCAATATGGTCGACACATCAATTGAGGTTCATCCCTCTGACTGTTGTTCCTCCACTCTGTCAGTTTGGCGACAGCGGGCTGGAGCTGATCACGGAGCACATGCACGGCCTGGAGAGCCTGAACCTGTGCGAGACCCAGGTGACAGACGAGGGGCTGCGCTGCCTGGTGGACCTGAAGAAGCTCAACCACCTCAACCTCAACAGCACCCCGCTGACCGCCCGCACCTGCAAGCTGCTGCTGGTGAGTTCACTTTGGGTAGCTAGTGTTGCTGAACTCACCGTGGGGGGGAATCGAGGGGCCGTGGGCCAGAGGATGGGAGATGAATCCACCCCTCCTCCTTCCCCACTTTACATGTACATTTCTGTAAGTCATAACATCCCTTTTGGTAAAATATGAAAGCTTTGATGCTGGATGCTAAAAAGATAAGGGGGGGGGCACCTTCTCCACTTTATGGTTTTGAATGTGTCTTACTTCTGATGGAGGGTGCTCCAACTTGTAGATTTTTATGGACTGCAGAGGGGAAAAGTGCTTGATCAGAACCAGTAGTATTAAACACAAGTGGCCACGCTTACTGTTCTCTTTCAACTTGGCAGGAAGACAGAGCTGGGATGTTTCTCATCTATACTGAATTTCTGTCAGTGCATGGGCTTAGGTCCATGAAGAGGGCATAATATTCCTCAGATTCCCACCCCTTCCCCCGGGAAATTTCCAGAGAGGGTAAACTCGGAGCAAGCAGGGAGCATTTTTTTTTTTGGTGGGGGGGCTATTATGCCCTCTGCGTGTGCTGTGTTTGAACCTTCAGAATGCCTCAGTGAAATTCAGTGAAAGGATCTAGAACCGCACACATTTCACAGGCACAGGTGTGGCAGTTTTTTCACTCACTTGGCATCAAGGTCAGGCCATTTCCGTGGACAAGTTTGATGGCTTGTTGCGGTGTGTGAAATGACCTGATGAATCAAGTCGGACAGGTGTTGCCCTCAATTGATGTTGAGGTGCAGATCCTGAAAAAAAAGAGACTCATGTTTGCCTCAGTGTTGAACCTGGCCGAGAATGTTGCCCTGTGAAAACTGTTCCTCACTTTGAATATTCGCTGGAACGTAAAAGAAGGTGAACAGCCTGGAAAAAAAAATTGTGTTCAGAGCCTGGGCAGGAAATGAGCTGTCAGCATCTTCATAGAGATTGTGCAGCTGGCCATTAGTCAAATTTTATTGGTTTTTAGAAACTTTAAAATGCATAAAGCCCACAATGAAGAACCCGAAGCCACAGACTCCAAGAACCACAAACAAAAACACTCTAAATCCCCCAAAACCTATAAGCAATAACCATAAACCCAAAACCTGGAAACCAAGAACCCAAAGCCACAGACCCAAAGAACCACAATCCAAAACGCTCTAAATCCCCCAAAACCCATAACCGAAAACCTGAAAACCAAACACCGAAAACCAAGGTGCTTGAATCCCAAGTGTGAATAAAGGCCACCGAACCCCGAATAAAATGGAAGAGCATATGATTAGACTGTTTTTCTCCATTCCTCCAGGGCAACCTGCCAGACCTGAAGACAATTGACACAAGGTACACAGACGCCTGAGGGGCAATGTAATCCAGGGGCCGGAAAGATTGTTTTCGGAAGGACATATCAAAGGATTCATCAGTTACCGGCCTGAGTGTCTGTGGGGAAATTCATCTGTACATTACATTCAACTCAACTGGGCAGAGGTTGGCTGTGTGTTGACATCAGTGGCTAGTTGATGGCGCCAGTTGCAGCACATCAGAAACACACCAGCTAATCCATCTGCATATGTCTAACAAAGGAATTAATAATTGGCATACAGTGCAAAAATGCACATCAAGAACATGTTATCTATGTTACTTTAGCCCTGTGAAATTGCATTTGTCTTATGCTTTTTTTTCCCCACGGTTCTGACAGAAGGGATTTGTAGGGTATAGGCTTTTTTTTTCACGAATAATTTATATGCTTAAATGCTGACAATATTTTTTGAATTCCTGCAGCTAGGAACTAAACTGCACAAAAGAGATAAGAATGTGGTTGACATTTTGGAGTAGAAATGTCCAAAGCACTGAGTTCAAAGGTCAGACTACCATACTTTTACCTGAGAATTGAATTTGATACAGCTGGTAGCATTCTGCAGGACAGATGCTTGGTCAAGCCCAGTTGTTTTGCACCCAGGGGCAGGAGTTACCTCCGTCTTTGTAAATACACCTGCAGAAAGACTTGGCTGAGTCTATTGTGGCTGCAGGGGGGGGGGGAGTTGTTAAAGATTACAGATGTAGCTGAGCCAGTATACTTGTTCAACTCGAGACAGTTAAGGGTGAATTTCTCAGCACTGGTTGGTAGAGAAGATTTGCTAACCCCAGCGAGAATAGTTTGCTGAGGTTAAAGTGATTTCTCAGTGTAGGCTTGCTTGTGACTGCGCACACATTGAGCCTAGAGATGCCAATTGCTGTAGCTCTACTTGAAGCAGACTGTTCCTCTGAAGTACCAGTGTGCTGGTAAATGTTGGTCTCAAAAGAAGATTGTTAGATTAGTAGCTTCATGAAATCAGGCCCAGTCACTGGAACAGGGGTGTGAGAATTCAGCTTTTTTTTTGTTTAGATGTTGAGCCCGAATTTCAGCTTTTTTGTACACCTGGCCTGTACAAAAGTAATAAAATTTTTTGTTACATTTCAGCTTTTTGCTAGCATTTTTCAGCTCTGATTTTAACTAGCCACTCACACCCCTGCTAGATGTATCATTTCAGGGTAAGTGGTCTGTTTTTGTTGCCGCTAACTGGCAGCTTCAGGTTCAATCTACCAACAGGGGTCAGTAAAACAGGTGCAAACCTCATGAAATATCCAGCTTAGCAATGCAGACTCATGCGGGCCTTGTTCATATGTACAATATGGCTATTATCTGAATCATTGGCATCCTGCAGATGTTTAATACTCTGGAAGATTGTACTCTTAAGAATGAAAAGAAACATAATTTTTTTTTGGTTTTTGATTTGTTGGTTTTTTGATAAAGTTAGCTGTCTTAATCTTACCGAGCATTGAAATATTGATTTTGGTTTCAGAAAGCAATACTGGCACTCCAGCAGACAGATAGTCTTTTAATATTTCACTGTTGATTAGTGAATGAAATAATTTTGTGCGGAGTCGTCTTTGTAAACTGCTTGTGACAGTGCAAAAATAGGAACTCCGAAATGACAACTGTAAAAGCAAATTGCCATGGCTTGTGCTTAAAGCGCTTCACCATTTTGGAGTTTCTTGCTGTTGATGTCAACATCAACAAACTCTGGTCTTATAGTAGACAGAAAATTTGGTTAAACTTTAAGAAATCCGGCTTGTGGAGCACAAGCTGTGGTTGTAAGAGCTGACAGGAGTATAAAGTGGTTGTAAATAGAGTGTCAGTCGATTCCTTTGATCAAAGATATCAGTGGAATAGGGACAGCAACAAACACAGCTGGGTTGGCCAGAAGATTCGTGAGAAATTTGCGCAGGTTTGCGTCGGTCAGGAAGCCTGTGAAGCAGATATATGTACACACATGCCAGTCTTCATGCCAGATCCTTTGAAATCCCATCAAGTGGTTTTTCGCAGGATTTGGGAAAGTACAACTGGTCCTTTGTTGCTTTGCAAGGGCCTTGGTATTGCTTGAGATTTTAAGCACAAAGAAAGTAAAATAATCGCTTCGTGTACTGTCTAGTGTTTTGGAGGATCGGCTGCCTCAATGGTGGTCAATGAACTGTGAAGATGTCATGACAGCTTGAAAGTTTGACCTCTGACATGGTTCCACGTTTAATTCTGAGTCTGGCTTATTAGACTAAAGGAAAAGAAGTGACAAAGTATTAACTATTCTCTTTTCAGAGCTGTAAGATTGTTGAACATCAATAGCAGCATTACCATCTCCTTAAAAATAGAGAAATCCCTTCAAATGTTCTTGTTTTTCCCCTTGAAGGGAGAAGGCTGGTTTGGGAAAGGGGAACATTTTGTAATTAATCATTTTTCCCATTTGTTTGTTTGTTTGATACATTATTAAATATTAAGTGGATGAGTGTGTAACAAATCTTTTGATATGCCATCTGTGATCTACTTTATTGAGGACACTGTAGATCAGCAAGGCTTTGTGATCAGCTGTGCATTTGTGCATGGCGGTGAAAGGGTTAACCTTTCGTACGCGTATTTAGATAGGCCATTTAACAAAACACAAGATGTGTATGTAATCTAATTATCAGCTCACGAACTAGCCGTTGGCAGAGTGGATACGAACATGCGATTAACTTTCTCAAATGAGAAAGGCGATCACAGGGTCCTGTCACAGTTTACGAGGGGATCCACTTTGACAGAGGGATAGCAACATTGAGACGAGACTTTTGAGAGCGCGCTCAGCGCAGGAAAATTGAATGGTGTGTTTTTACACGGCATGGCAATGACAGTCCTATGGTGGGAACTCATTGCCTGGGTGCACAAGTTCATGTACAGGACACACTGAGCATGATCGACCAATTTTTATTGAATGGTCCAGTCTTTGCTTGTGTGCTGGGCACGTGCATGCACCCAGTTTGAGCTGTTGAAGGATACCTCTCATCAGAACAGATAGCCTGTGACTTGATTGAATACTTCGTGATTGACTTGGGATCGCTCACAACTCTCGTCATTGAGTAGACCTAAAATATAACATCCCACTTTTCTCCGTGGTGACTGGATGGACCACGCCCCACCTCATTGCCATAAGAGTGGGCATGTGTATAAAGCGTCTTGTCATTCTGTTCTACATCTATTTTGATGGGTTGGGATTGTAGGCAATGAGGGTGGGGACAGGGAACATGTGTGTACTTTCTGAAGCTTTGCATATGATCTGCAGTAGCTACATGTAATGCTCGGTGTACAAAAAAGTGAGCAAACATGCAGTCTGTATGTTAAATGATTGACTAGGGATAAACAAATTATCTACATTTTGTAAGAGCAGTTTTCAATGTTATTTGATATCTTGATCTCATGATGAAAGACCATTAATTCTGAACTAAATTTAATATGTACACATAGTATTACATTGATAGGGGAGTAACTTTCCAACATCATATGTAGTAATCATGGAATAATGAAATGTTTAAATGGTGATTGTGACTTCTGTGTTGGCTTCACACATTGGAAACCAATTTTTTGCAGTTGCTATAGAGTAGATTTATGCGTTACTTGTAATATTAAATGATGTGAAATTAAGAGGTAAGAAGATGAAAAAAACTCTAAATGTTTTGATGAAAGGTTAAGGGCATAAATCTTGTCGGTCATGAAACAGACAGTGCGGGGTAACCAAAAAAAAATCAAAAATAAAAAAAATCAGAACAAAAACAAAAATGAACAGAAAAAAAGTATATTAAAAAGGTAATGACACAGGTGCCTTGATATAAACATGCACCTTACTGTTAAAGAAAAAATCAATTTAAAAATTGAAATGTGTAATATTAATATTGTGAAGTGTTTTATGGTATTTCAGTATTATGTCTGCTTGGAATTGGTATTGCATACACTATATTTTTCCTTTTTTAGGGTGTGAGGAAATCGTTTCTGTAGCTGCATAGGTTTAATTTGGGCAGCATTTGTAATTTGAAACATCACCAAGGTCTGTGTAGGACCGAGTATCTATATAAAATATATCACCGGTGTTGTATTTCATGCACAAGTGGTTTTGATTAGAAAAATTTTGATTAAATCTTCAACTTGCAAACGCGAACAAATTTTGAGACATTTTAAAACAAAATCTGGTGTAATCATATTGAGAACTTGAGATGTGGATGCCATTTTTCGGAGACGTATCAAGACATTGTTGGAATGGTAGATGTTAATTATTACGTGTGTGTGTCAAAACAAAAATAAGTATGGAGAATACTTTTTGAAGAAAAAATGACTCAAAATGAATTGGTGCTAAATTGTGACGTTCTTGATGGGCAGTTGTTTAAAAAAAAATGTGCATTGCATTGAAATGTCTGTACCATTGCTGGTTGCTGCTACGTGGATGTTGCTAAACCTCCTGAAGGATAATCCGCGGGGTGGGGGTTGTGGAAATCTGTATTTTAATAAAGGGCCCATGCGATGACTTTTTTCTTAAGACACTTTCTGTGACTCCTTACACTCTTCTTCAGTATATAGAAACTATCTGACATCCTTTTAGGGTTATAGATGTATGAAAAGTGCACTTTTTAAGCATTTGAAAAATGATGCAAGGCTCTCTGGACAACTGAGGGCGCTGTTACCATGATGTTATTTTAGTGTGACACGAAGTTTTATTTTATTTGTTTCTCTATTTCAGTTGTGAATCCAAAACTGTTAACTCCTTCGAAAGAATTGCTCGTTGACATATTGTTGTGTACTTACACGACAACAAATCACCCAAGAAAAGTAAATTTGGGACAGCAAAATGTAAAAATTCTGGCATTTGTCATACACAAATAAGTACTACATTGGGGATTTATATCCATGGAGTGACACTGTACAAAGTCTTGTAAAGATTGGAATTTCCTCATTTTTCATTAAAGTCCAAGTTCCATGCCTGTTAAAAGAAAAACAGCGAACCAGAAAGAGAAAATGGGGTTAATTGAAACAACGGTAAAATAATTGCACTTCCGGAACCCTTTAAACAGGTTTCCGTGATGTAGAGTTAAAAAAAAAATTGTGATCTTAAAATTATAACATGAATTTAGTTTCAACTCAAGGCTAGTGGTTCTGAGGATTATTATCGGCCAAGGGCTTATCTTTACTCGGAACAATCAACGGGAGAGGTTTTTACTCTTGTGACTTTTTTTTAGTACCTAGTTTCCCAAACAAGGTGACCTAGTGAAATAGAAAAATAATTGTAATTTTAAATTTTGATTCTACATTAATATATACACAATACTTGAATATTTTTGGAACAGTTAAAAGTAAATGCTATATGTTTATAGAAAATATCATCTGTACCTTTAAGATAAAACAACTCAAAAAACACAAAAGGATAAAAAAAATCTGCTCTTTGTAGTAATGATTTTGTTTACAGTTTTCCATGTTATTTCTGTGCACATAATTTATGAAGAGTAATCAAACTTGGGGTAAAGGAAAATATCAGACATTACATCACCATTTTGTCCTATTTTCCTTTGATTTAGGGCCATTGGAACTAGCTTTCCTGTAAAGTAACCTGCTTTTTACTCATTTGATCTCCGGATCCAACAAGCACGAGTGTTTGTCTAGGTTTGCTCTCCGGAAGTGTGGTTGCACTTGCAAATCCAAAGCTTGCCCATGCAACCTTTCTTTCCTGTAACCTTGTGGGGACATGCTGCCAATGGCTGAACCCATGTTGTCGCAAGATAACAGGTGAAAATAGCAAAAACTAGGTGAACCCATGTTGTAGCAAGATAACAGGTGAAAATAGCAAAAATTAGCTGAACCCATGTTGTTGCAAGATAACAGGTGAAAATAGCAAAAACTAGCCAAGTTTTTACTGTTCTCTTTGTGTACATTTACCAGTTTAAATGGCCTGAACAAGTATTTCCAGAAAAACAAAGAAAACAAATCTAGTCAGTTGGCATGCTGGCTTTGAAGATTACTTGTAGCTAGCGTAACTTATTTGGGCAAAAATTGTAAGTACTGAAATAGAGACTTTGCTTAAGTTAAGGAAGTCAGCTTTTTTTTTCCTTCTTTTTCGCCTCTTTTCTTTTTGTAATGAACTCACAAATGAATGTTGTAACTTCAGCTGCAAAGAAAAGAATTGATCTTGTTACTGAATAACATACCAACAAGTAGCAGAGAACTCAACATAAAAATTTCATAAAAGATCCCATAATAATGAGGTGAACCAACTCAAGTGTGGTCAGTCTCTCAAATGTTGTGTTTCAACAGGCAACCTGACATTGGAAACTCTGTTTGGTCTGAAGGCTTGTGTTTTGTGGGTCTCTTTCTTGTGAACAGCCAGCTGACAAAAAAATCTTTTCTTTCTTTTGTATGCATGCTTGCCTTGTATTTATTTACATTGTACATTATTGATATTTCTTCTAGATAAATGTGTATATTTTCTAAGAGACCTTTTTTTCAAATGGACATTCACATCGTCACTCGGTAGTCACCCTCATTTTCTGAATCCACATTGTAAAGAAAGACAGAGTGGTCCAATCACATTCCTTGTTGTTACTGCATCACACTGTAATGCTTGAATACAGAGTGCACCACTGTTTTTGATTGGGCAGGCCAATTTTTCCCTCTTCAATGTAGCATTTGTACACATTCACAGATTATTTTTTGCGTGCAGTAAGGTAACTAGCCTTCTGCAGGGGAATTGGACGTTCCTTTTTGTTTATGTGCACACATTGTGCACTTAGTATGGCAGTTAATCCACACAATGTACATGTAGAATTGGCATGTCTGTGAAGCATTTAATAAATAAAAAACAACTACATGTATGTGATACGTACTTTAAAAACATGACTTCCCTGCCAGTATTCTTTCTTGAATCGTGTCGTCTTAAACATGCGTCATGAAAGAGTTCCATATACGGACAACACTTGTTGCCCCTGTGCACAAACCTACGAGACTTTTTTTTTCTTTTTTTTTCTAAATTTTCCACTTTTACATTAGGGAAAATTAGTGTTGTCCATCTGTGGAACTCTTTCTCCCAGTCTTTAGACAGCCCACCACTCAACCACCGACAGAAAACGTTTTAAGAATAAGGGATTAAATTACCCATTTGATTTTGTAATGTTCAAAGGCAGGATACTCGGTGGCCGTTTATACGATCCAGTCCATACATTTCCGTATTTCCACGAGGTAAGTCAATACAAATTCAGCCATACCAAGGACATGCGTGAACAAATCCGGACACGAATTCAAGTAAACCACACAAGCTTGAGCACTAACCACACTAGCCAAATTTTGCCTGTTCTTTCAACATAAAAGTCGTTAAATTCAACACAAGGCTCATTCAAATTCGTTTTTAATTTTAAAAATGATCTTTCAGATGAAAATTCCTTCGAAAATTACAAGCAAGCATTCGATTTCGTTATTGAATTTTTTTTCTGTAAATACGTTCATTCCAATTCCAAAAGTCCTTTTCATTCACTCGTATTCGTTGTAGGGCTTAGAGAGAGGTTAATCAGGCATTTGAGTTAGTTGACCCCTGATGGCACGCTTCCGGAACCTTTGGGTAGGAAAAATAACGTGCAAAGATTTTAGAATTTGTAATATTTTTTGTTTGGAAAATATTTGCTAGGATATCAATTTATAGAAACTAAAAAATCACCTGACCTAAAAGAGAAATATCCTGCCAAAAATTGACCCACCACTCCCGAAAATCTAAAATACATGAAGAACAGTGCAATGAGGCAGTCTCGTACGTAAATGAACATTTACGGTTTGGAATTTATGGTAGTCCGTCGGTAAAAGCCGAAATAAAAACAGATCAAAATATTTTACAAAGTCTTGTAAGTTATAAGCAATTAACTTAAAGCAATATTCTACTTCAATTACGAAAGATTCTAATCCTCTATGTAACCTTTGCTGACAACAACTGCGTGATGTCACTTCAACGGAATCTGGAACCCATCGACTGCAAGTAGGTAAATCTTTGTAAAGTTGTTCAATCTCGTTTTCACATAAGCACGGGCAGTGAAAACAAACGTGCATGAACATGGAGACCTATAGGTACGATATCGCCGGACGTGGAAGCTCGTTAATTAAGAAAATTCGTTTTTTACCTATCTCCATGTGATTTTTCCTAAATATTACTTGAGGAAGACAAAGGCAAAATTTCAACATGAGCTTTTCATGGGGTGGTTTCAGTTAGGAATTATTCTTCCAAAAAATATCGAACGGGATACGACGGCCTATTGTAAAATCCTCATAGGAGGACAACGCGAGGGTTCCGGAAGCTCGCTGGGTGACTTGGTATACGCAAACTCATTTCACTTGCGGCAATTTAAATTCATTCCAGTGACAAGCGCTTTCTGGATCCTATATAAAATCTAATTTTCCAAGGAAAAAGGTTTAACGGTGGATCTCGAGAGCTGCTTGTCAACATAACTTTGTCCAACAGCTATGGCGGCCGGGTTCTCACAGCAAAGTGAACATCGTAGCTAGAGAACAGCTGCCAACGCTTTCCAGGGCAATCGCGAGAGAAAGGCCTGTAAACAAGTTTTTTTTCCACATCTTTTTCTTCCCTTGTTTAAACCCTTACTTTAATTGTTTCCCTGAACGTTTGTAATTTTTACGTACACAATACATGTATTTTGAAATGGTCATTAGGCCCTATATGAAACAAAACGCACAGTATCAGTCAGTACACACAACAAGGAACAAAACAAAAAGTTTCTGTTTCTAATTTTACTCAAGAAATAGGTATAGATACAAACAAAAAATAAACGATATAAAGGAATCATTCACAATCATGGAAACTATGATTATGGAACAAGAATATCATACAGAACGGCTTACAATGAAAGACTGACGGCATTAATTCTGCAATGCTCCTATAAATTGAACACTTAAAAGCAAAATCGTGTGCAGGTAAAAGATTCTATGCGCGTCGATGAGTTTTAATTTGACTCTGCCTATTTGAAAAAGCAGTGGCGTATGCAGCGGGGGGGGGCGGGGAGGGCAAACTTTCCCCCCACCAGATTGTTTTTGCGTTTTTGTTTTCTTTTTACAAAGAATACTACACAGTTGAGTATAGGAAAGAAAATATTCGGTATATTTATCAAATATTAGCACCAAAACCCAAAGAAAACAACACCGGCAAATAAAAGCAAGGAGGCCGAGACCGTGAGTAAGGCCTACGATTTTTCTCTCCAAAACATCCGCGTTGGATGAGCCCAAAGCCGGATTCGCTTTTGAATCCCCCTAACACACACACACCGTAAGCTGGATATGCCGCCTAGAAAAGGCAGCAGAGATTACCCTGATGAACTGTGGTAGTGTAGTATTGAATGTCCAGAAACGAAGTGGAATGACGGAAACGAACCTGAACGGCAAAGTTTTTAAAAACTTGCTTTGCACAAAAACGAATTTGAATGTCAGAATCGGGAAACAAAACCCCCAAACAAACCAAAGGATAACATCTGTGCGAATGTGAATATGTGTTGACAACAATGAGTGGATTCTTGCTGAAATTGACCGGGAAAACGTTTCTGTTTTCATTCCAGTTGTAAAGATACCGGTGTCCCTGTATGAAAATACCGCTATGTCCATCGGTACGTGGTACTTGCAAACCAAAAATTGAATTACAAGGAAGGAATAAGGCTAGGTTGGCTGTTTGTGTTTACTCAGTAATTAAATTAGTGGGTAACGTTTCTTTCTGCCCAATTCCACAAACGCGGAACCTGGTTCATGCTTCATTCATGGTTCATGCGTTCATTGAGAAGAAGCTTTCGAAATCATTGCAGTCTATCATTTACTTCTTGTCGTCCAGGAGTGTTGCTGATTGATGTCTGCCTTTTGACACAGGTGCCAACGCTTCTGACAATATCATCAAACGTTTAAATTTCATTTAAATTTAGTATTTTAGTTACTTTCCCCCTCTTTTTTCTTATAATGGGATAAATTTATAGGCAACCCTGAAGTCGGTGAAGAAGAAAAACGAAGCTGTCCGACTGAATATTTTAAAACAATATCAATCCACAGCAAGTATATATAAATAATGTGTTCCAGGAGTACATTCATGTACATGTACATGTACAATCCAGGACAAAATTGTTGGGACACTCGGCAGTAGCCATATGCTCTCCAGCCCCCATCCCATTCCCCTGGTTAGCATTGTCCTGTCCAGCAAGCCGGAGCGCAGACCGTGCGCATAGACCCAACATTGTGTCCACCGTGCTGTTTGGCGTGTGCTTCTGGCGTTGTTTGTGTCAAATAGACAAATGTATATTTTGGGCAAATTGTACAAGAAAAAGCAAGATCATTATCCATTTTGTATTGTGCGTGTACGTACAGTCACAACTGTTTTGCAGGAGTGTATCGTAGATGATGCACCGTGGCATTTCTACCAATAACCGTGCAAAAGTGCTGTGTTTTGTTAATGTGAAGGGCTGATTTTGGTACAGAAACATCATGCCGTTTTAATGCACAGCAACTATAGGGAAATATGGAATGCTCAGTACTTGCATTTTATTTTTAGAAACCTTTGAGGAATGACTGGGAGGCCTACATTTTGGCAGTACTCTAGTATCTTAATGAGTTCGAAAAGGGACATACTTGACTATGCAACGGTGACTTTTTGCCGTGCCATTTTTGTAACTCCGAATTCTGATGGCACGGATTAATAAGAAAGAGCGGCAGTTGCAACGCATTTGTTGCGACGCTGGGGTGACCCAAGAAGATATGGGACGTATCTTTTGTGAGAATTTGAAAATATCAAATTATTTTGCTTTTGAAAGCAAACAAAATTTGTTGTTTAAACAAATGAAAATGTTTTTCCATCAATAAAATAGGGAGGCGAGTGCCGCCCGGCTGTGCCACCCATGTAGGAGCTGTCACCGGACTGTTGAATCATCAATAACAAACATTCACTATACACCATGATAGCTTTTATACTGAGATCACTGAGAAGAAATGGACCCAAACACAGTTGGGATCAGTTTCATTGGCTAAAATTAAGGAAATTAAGATTATAAATGAAAATAAATCAGCATCAATCTTTTAAGCTCACCGTATTCAAACCTGAAAAATTGGCTCTGCGCCCAAGGACATGGAAAAAATGTGGTGAGGGAAAAATCAAAAAGTTATGCGATGTTG